CCAGCACTCTTCTCACTGCATGGAGGGCCGAATCTCAGTCTTCTGAATGCTGAGCCCTGGCGGAGACTTCACACTGCAGTCTCTGAGCCTCCTTTGCCTGCGCAGATCTCTGGTGGACTTGCGGGAAAGAACCAGAGAGGGAAGCGGCTCCTGGGAGAGAAGCGACGCCAGTACCCTGGACAGTGGACCGGCTCAGGTGGCTGCACAGGGGCCGTGCTGTGAGCGCTTCTTTGGTGCAGAGATCTCCTTCTAGCTCAGGGTCCCATGCAAGAGACCACAGCAGGACCAGAGTACCGAGCAGGGTCCCTGCAGGGGAGCAGAGGTGAACCCCAAAGTACTGCAGGAGAGTAAGCTTCTGTAGGAGCTAAAGACAAGCGCTTGGAAAATGTGCATGAGAGGTAGGGGAAGCAGTCAAGGCATGACCACTTAGTCAGAGCATCATGAGATTGCTGCCCAGTCCTTAAAAGGTTGTCCAGTGAATGCCCTGGCCAAGGTGGGGCAGCTTTAACACCATCCAAAACACCCAGGCTTCCGCACAGCATTTACAGGCATTAGGGGAGAAAGAGCCCTCATTGGGAATCAGGTTCCAGCGCCGAATCACCCCTCCAATTGAAAATTCCCTCTTATGGGTCACACACTCCATTTTCTGTCTTCCAAACGGAGATAATGAATTCTAACACAGGGAGTGGGTTAAAAGATCACTTTTTTCAGGACTATGTGACCTCACTTTCCCTCACTTTCCAGTGCCCTGCTTCTTTACATTTGTAAGAAATGATAAGTAACACATTCTTATAGAAGCACAGTGAAGATGAAGAGATATGGAACAAAGATACATATTGAGCCAGAAATATAAAAGCCACCATTTAAACCAGCGGATTATTATAATCCTCATTACCATTAATAATGGCAGTTGTAGTAGTTAAATTTATGTACAGAAAGAATAGAGTGACTTCTAGTTTGGCAGTAGTGTACACGTGAATTTTAAGGCAGCGGTAACAGTTGGCACTTGATTTTGCACTTACTGCAATAGAACAATTGAGAATTTCTATCCCTTGTGGGTTTTGTGTGTGCGTGTGTGTGTGTGTGTGTGTGTGTGTGTGTGTGTGTGTGTACACCCTGTCAAAGGAAAAAGCAATCTTTTGCACTTGCGGTCAAACCTGAAAATGAGGCTGACTTCAAGTTTTGTTCATTAACGTTCATACATTTCTAACAATAGCCCCCCAGATCCGTTAAAACCAATCTTTTACTGTCCAATTTGGGGACATTTTCTGGTGTGGATGGTCATAAATCTTGAAAGGAATAGTGTTCATTTCTTTGGAGAATTAATGACGATTTCTAGATGGGAGCAGAGAGTCATGTATCAAACCCTTAAGCATCCTGTTTTTCCCAACAGAGGTACTTGATAGAGGACTGGCAGATTTTGTTTTGTCGTTGCCAGGAATTTCATGGTCACTGTCCCAAGCAGAAAGGGCGCATCATCAAATTCCTCCCTCTAGTGTAATCATGTCTTCCTGGAATTTTTTTCTAACATGGATAGGGACTGTTTTCTTGACAGTGCACAGTCATGTTAGAATAAATACCCTGGAGAAATACTTTCAATTAAAATTCAGAGGGTTTAAAAATCCAGGCTAGAAAGGATTTCCCTGACCTACAAAACCTAATAAGATTTTTTCCTTTCCATTTTCTCCCTCCTCGCCCTCCTCGGTGTGTGAGGTTGGCCTGCTTTCTTACCTGGTGGCCCTGTTTAGCTCTGCTCTCTAGACATTTCAGTCAGAAATGGCTTTCAAGAATATTTCGAGACAACTTGACATACTGATCTACTCTTAAAGTCAGTGTTTGGGCGGGGGGGGGGCACGAGGAAGAAAGAAAGAGGAAGAAACCACAAAAGCAAACAGCAATGAAATCTTTTATTTAACAATAAAAAAAAGTCTGTCCTGGAGATAGAAAGGTAGTGTGCATAGCATTTGAAGGGGTTAATACCAAACAAGCAACCAGCTTAGAATCGCAGGCTTTTCTTCTTTTTAGTTCGACTATAGCACATAATGTGTACATTTTGTTGGGACTGGTGTACGTACACAGCTAACACATCCTAATTCCTTTTTCCATCTCCTTTCCCGCCTCCCCTCTCCCCTCCCCGCATCCCTTGACTCCCCTCATGCTTCTTTGGTCTGTGTTTTCAGCACCTAATGTAAGTGTTCCTTGTGTGGAGTGGATGCATGTTCATAGCACATCCCATTCCTGCTTTGCACCTTCCACCCTGCCCCGCCCCCTCCTCCTCTTTACCCCTCCCATTTGAGAACAATCTCAACCTTCCTATTAGGTACCTTTTACTGGAAAGCAGAGATTCTGAGGCTGGCAGGGAAAGCAGACTTGGAGTGGGGAGACTTATGTTAGAATGCAGCTTGGAGATAGATTTGTGTTAGAAGGCTTCCTCTTTGTTTGGGGTTTTGGGCAGATAAAGTCTTGGACAGTAAATGCATTGGTAACATATTTCAGTGAATTTTATACACTGTTTGTGAGACATAACTGTCCACTGTGAGTACAGTGCCTCACATATCTAGGTGCTCAATTATTTAGAGTTTTCATTGTAAAAAATTAAACAACAGTATGAGGGGGAAAATTCTCTTTCTATGAATGTGTTCTTATTTAGGATTATGGTTAGAGGTATTGTCAGTTAAAATTAATAAAAACAAAACAATTTTTAAATAAAAAATTAATAAAAACATCCAGATGAGACCGAAGAAGCAAACGAATAGCATCTGAGACAATGGCACGGGGCTGACAGTGTGCAGAGGGCAGTCCTCTTCCCCAGAGGCAGGGCTGGGAACAGGGAGGGGCAGGGGTGCCAACCAAGGAAGCCACTTCGGTGGCCCTCAGCCTGTGACCTGCAAGCCTGTGCTTGCACGGCTGCCTTCCAGTCCACACCCCAGGGACCTCCTGGCCAGCTCCAGTGTCCTGCCTGGCTCATGGGTGGGGTACCTTGCTTGCCTTCTGACCAGTATTTCTCTCATATTCATTATCTGGAAATACATCAGTCAGAGATACCAGACTTTTCCACTTCCCAAAGAACTTCAGAAGAGAGGTTACAGGCCCTGGCATGCCACGGGGAGCAGCAGTGCCCCTAAGACTATAAAGTTTAACAGCAGAGATGATCTCATGTTTAGTCCTCAAAGTGCATGGAGGAACTTGCTAAAATTTCCGCTGTGGAGGGTGACGAGTCGTGACCTCATTCTCTTTCACACCAGTCTTGGTAAAGGCACTAAAAATAGCAAATCGCTTTTTTTTTTTTTTATTGCCTTTTCAAGAACCACAGTAGGGGCTGGAAGACACCAGTCACCTTCAGAAACTAGCAACAAGTGGGACAGCACTTGATGAAGAATCTCCAAAACAGATATGCGTCTTGGTGTTTTCAGGATGTCTGCAGATGTGCAGTGCTTTTCATATTCTATCCATGCAACCAGTTCAAGCTTTTTGCCAACAGAGCCTGATAATGGACACCTTTATTCTGGTGATTGGCATTATTTATAAAATCATACGAAGGCAGTTTGCAAATGGGAATATATTAGGAATGTGTTTGGCTACAAGTATTAGAAAACTTAACTACAATGACTTTTACTACCCGGGTTTATTTTTCTCATGTAATAAGATGTCCAGAGTCAGTTCTTCTTGGGGTTGGTTTAAATTCTTAGGCCTCTGGGCTTTTCTTTATAATTGTAATATGGCTGGGCAGTTCCAGCTACTGAAGTGGAAAGGAGGAAGAAGGGAGCTCGGAGGGTACCCCTTGGCTGTCCCCTCTCCAGGGAAAGCAAGAGCTTCCCCAGAAACCCATTCTCCCTACCCCTGGATTATGGGTTGAATTGTATCCACCCCATACAAGATATGTTGGAGTCCTCACCTCCAGGATCTTAGAATGTGAACTGTTTGGAGATCATTTGGGCAGAAGTTGTCAAATTAAAATGGAGTCATTTGTGTATACCCTGACCCAGATGCTGGTATCCTTCTAAAACAGCAAAGTTGTATGCCTACTGGAGAATGTCTCATGACCAGGAGGTGGCCATCCGTGAGGCAAGGCGAGAGGCCTGGGATGCATCCCTCAGGTCCTAGGAGGAAGCAATCTTACAAAAGCTTTTATTTCAGCATTCCAGCCTTGTAAGCTGAGCTAATACACATGTATTGTTTAAGCTATTCAGTTTGTTGTACTTTTCATAGCACCTCTAGTAAAGCAATAAATCCCAGAAGACCTCCACTGCTATCCTACTGGCCAGACTGTGGCCCTGGCCACTCTTAACTAAGAGAGGCTGGGCAGTATGAATTTAGCTCAGCACATTCCAATGTTTGTGTTGAATAACTGCGACTGCGAGAGAGCATGCCCTCCAATACTGAAGAGAGAACTGAAGTAACATTTTGGAGATAAATTTGTACAGTGCAAAAGAATTCACAGGTGTAGATACCAGCACTCACTTTGCCATGACCTGCCGCCATCCACACGGCACACATCATGTGTGCCTCATTCTAAGCCTCAGCTTTCTTGCCTGACAAATGGGGATAACAACCTATGCTTTTAGAGTATTAATGCTGTTGTGAGGACCAAGTAAAGTAGCAGATACCGTTATTGCTTTGGAAGTGCAATACTGTGTTCAGATGTGGAAGAATGATGTGCGGGATAGTTTGGGTTTCTCTTTGTAGAGTGAAGGAAAGTTGGATTAAATCTGACTTTGTGGTTTGAGCAAGTGGAAAGAAAAAGGCAGTTGCTATCAACCCAATTCTTAGCAACGGGAAAGCACCGTTTGTTGATGTGGGAATAACAGCTCTCTTCTCTCAGAGGACTCAGGAGTCCTGCAGGTGGGTGTAGCCAGACACCATTGGCCCCAGGAAGCCATTTATCCTGCATTACCGGAAGCGATGGAGCCTACTCTGGGCTGATAACAGAGTTTCTCTGTTCTAACGTGCACACATTACCTGGAGATTTGGTTGAAGTGCTGCTTGCTGCCCTTTCCCAGGTCTGCGGTTCAGCAGGGGGCCTGCCGCACTGCATTTCTCACAAGCTCCTGGTGGACATCTGTGCCACTGACCTGAGGACCACTCTCAGGACAGCAAAGCTGACATTGGTGAAAGGGTGGTGGCCTACGAGAAAGCTTCCAAAATGGAAATTCTGACAACTTCCTGGGGACTGCTCTCCTGAAAATGAAAATGAAAATGAAAAAGATTCTTCTCAGAGTGTCTTGGAGGTATGTTCAACAAACTCAGCTTTTCAAAAGAATGTGGAAAATCTGGACAGAGACGTGGACCCTAGGAGGAGTATAAACAAATGTCATAGAGTACTCTGTAAGGCATTAAAAGAACAGAGTGAGTGACGCTGTTTCAAAATTATTAAACAGCAAAGCCAGGGGTAGCCAGGAGACGAACCCTAGCCTGAGACCCTGCTTTCCATTTGACTATGAGTATCAAAAGCCTCTTCTGGGTCAAGACTCTATTTTAGTTCGTCATATCATTTTTTAAGAAAATCCTACATTTAGTTATGAAAGGGATGACATGCATGGGCCTAGAAAGGGAAGCCACAAATCTCCAGCACTTGTGCTTCAGTTTGGAATTAAGCCCTCACAGTTCTAGAGATGACCCAGCCAGAGGAAGGGGACTGCGGACCCCCTGTAGCTAAACAACACAACCCGGAAAGTTTGCACAGTATCTTTGTAGGTGAGATAATGAGATGTCAAGTGCAGAATAGATCAGTTCATTGGGACCTATTTGTGAGTCCTCCTAAAGGGACTTTGCGAGAACTCAACTTAGATGGAAGCCTTTGAAAGGATTCATTATTCCAGTGTTATCTGCATGCACAGAAATCTGATAGAGCAATGCACAGGGAATTGGAGAAGCATGCAGACCTTTGGGCTCAGCTCACCTGGCCTTATTACATGAAAACAGCATGGCCAGAGTTGGTTACCTAAGCACTTGGTACCTCAGTTTATATGCAAAATGGTATAGGATTAGTAGCTAATTCAAAGTGTTGTTGGTGCGTGAAATAATGTACATGTTGTAAATCACTCAAAGTAGGGCTGGGTACAAGGCAAGTTGTTACGACTTGTATCTAGGTATCTCTCCAAAAGCTTCATGTGCTCATAGGTGGGGCTATTCAGAACTGGCTGGATCTATGGTATATGATACTGGGATTAAGGCTGTGTGGTACTAAATTAGCCCACTGATTAGAATTAGTATAGTTCAGGCTAACATGTCCCTAAAGGCTGTTAGCCTTGATGGGGTAAAAGGGCAAGGTAGGCTGGCTGCTCACTACCTTCTGCCTGCAATGCCATGGACTGTTTCTCCTCTGGGATGTCCCTCTACCATGCCACCCTGTCGTGGAGCCAACTGACTGTGGACTGAAACCTCTACAAACTGTGAACTACAGTAAACCTTTCCTCCTTTAATTTTGGGTGTCTGGTATTTTGTCCCAGCAGCCAGAAAAGTTACTAAGACAAGCTTCATACATGATACCTATAATTATTAGTCATATTCATTTTGCAGGCCTAGGTAACACACAGTTTAGAAGGATAGCAGATGTCTTAGCTTATAAAATTAAGAGCTTGAAAAGACCATGACATAAGGAAACTTAAGCCAAATATTCAAAGATGAAATATAATAGAAGCCTATAAAAACATCTATCTTGGGGAAAAATAGCCCATAAAGAATAAGAAAACTTGTGTCTATAGCAGCACAGGTAAAAAAATGACTTAAAACGTGTTAGTCTATTGTCAGTTTATGTTAACTATGGGATGCACTTGTAAAAATTGGATTGAGATTGCCTTAACAGAAATACACCGCAGAAAACAAATAAAAATATAGTCCAACCTTCTTAGTCACTTTCTTCATCACTGAGACATAATACCTGGCACATGCAGTTTAAAGACATTTTATTGGCTCATGGTTCAATCCATGGTCAGCTGGATCCAAAACAGGAAGGCAGAGTGGGAGGGTCTGGGTGAAAGAAAGTTGCTCACAGCCTGGAGCGATGATAGGAAGACAGAGACAAGGAAAGAATCAGGGAAGAAGACATACCCTCCAGGCTACACTCAGGGACTCACATCTTCTCATCAGACCTTATGTAATAATAGCAAGACAGTTGTCCTGCTGGGCTAATATAGTCACCTCCCAAAAGTACCAACTTTGAGTGCATGAGCCTTGGGGTGGTGGCATCCAGATATGAGCCATAATACTAACTCTGCCCCTAAACTGGTTGAACCACACATGGAATAATTGTGGTTAGTATTCCTCACAGCTGGCATTGACAAATGAGCATATCCAAACAAACTGAAACTTTATAGGGGTCATATATAAATTCTTAAAAGAATTATTTGGAAGTAGTAGCGATACCTGGTTAAAAAGAGAAGTCTTAGGGAAGAGTTGATAGTTGCCATTATAGATTTTTTAGGGTTGATTGGTGAAACAGGACAAAGACACAATGAAAGGGAAGAGCAGTACAGAAGACAAAAGCTTGCCCAGTGTGAAGTTACTGGCCAGAGAGACCTGACCTCAGGCTTAGAAACTGCTAAGAATCTGACTCTGATCAGTGACTGGGCTACATCCAAGTCAGACTTCCTTGTAGTGGTTAATCTGTTTCCCTATCTGCTCCCCTCCTAACATAACCACTGGTCAGTTTCTGAATCCCAATATTTATGTCTCCAGCTTTTTGAAATTGTGGAAACCTCTTTTCACCCTTTCAGGTCTGTTTTCTATTCAGTTTCTTATCACAAGTCGTCCCTTAGCTTTGGTCAGATGAAACCATGCTGATTATCTAGCTCACCTCTCTAGGCTTCCTTTCTTTTCTAGACTTGGGCTTGGTGAATTCATGCTGAGTGTTACTTGGTTTGTATTGGTTTGTAGCTGGGAATACAGACAAAATACCCGCCATATAGATCCTAAAGGAGAAGTTCATTTGGGTCATGGTTTCAGAGGGTTCAAACCATAGTCCGCTGGCTCAAAGGTGTGGTGGAGGAAACCAGCTCACCTCATGACCACCAGGAGGCAGTCGCAGCAAGAATCAGAGCTTGCAGGACCCTCAATGACAAGGCCCAGTAACATGCTGAGTGTTACTTTTTTAAAACCTACATCATGTATCCCCACATTTTGTCTAGATTTTTGGTGTGATCTCAAGGGGAGCATTCTTCCAATATTAATGAGCCAGCCACCTTTGCCAGAAGCATTTTTACCCAATGACAGATGATGCTACGCTTGTTATGGTTCAGATTTAAAATGTCTTGCAAAATCTCACATGTTCAAATGTCAGGCCTTTTAAGGGGGTTGGATAATGGGGACACTGTACTCAGCAGACTCATTCATTAATGAGCTCACAGATGAATGTGCATGGAGGTTGGGGTTGTCTGAGGAGGTGGGTCCCTGGGCCATGTCATTGAGGGTTGTGCAAGCTCTGATTCTTGCTGCGACTGCCTCCTGGTGGTCATGAGGTGAGCTAGTTTCCTCCACCACACCTTTGAGCTAGCGGACTATGGTCTGAACCCTCTGAAACCATGATCCAAATGAACTTCTCCTTTAGGCTCTATATGGCGGGTATTTTGTCTGTATTCCCAGCTACAAACCAATACAAACCAATAACTAACACACAGCTCTTTCTAACAGTCAGTTCTGGAAATGTGGAGTTTAAGAGTGCTATCAGAAGCCTTGTTGAATCTCACTTTCATTAGATTTTAGCCCAATAATTCCTTTTTATCTTGTCAGCTCATCAATGCTTATGTTCTTGCATCTTTTTGTAGCATTTGTTTTTTACAGAGAGACTCTGCCCCAATAATCTATTCTGTTCTAGTACTTTCATTATATTTAAGTCTTTCTTCAGTTAACATGTCAATTCCAGAACAGCAAGAACCACATGTCGCTCATCCTAATAGTAGTCCTCAGCCCAATGCCTGACAGAACAGGTTGCCAGTGACTATCGAAGAAATGAAAGTACAAGGCTTTGAATGAAAATGTGAATGGTAGGCCCCCCACCAGAACTGAAAAACATGTAGCTTGGTGTTTTAGTTACTTTTCTCATTGCTCAGACAAAATACCCAGCACTCACAGTTAAAGGAGGAAAGGTCTATTTTAGAGGACAGTTTGTAATGGTTTTAGTTCATAGTCAGCTGCTGCCAAGGCAGGGTGGCACGGCAGAGGAGAGACGGTCCACAGCAGGGAGCAGGCAGCCAAGCGGTGGAGAAGCAGCAGAGGCCTGCGTCTCCCTTTTTTCCCTTCCAGGCTAGCTGTCCCTCTGCGTGGTGGCACCCACACCAGGAGGGTCTTCCCATTATTCACACCCAGAACTGTGCTCAGCCATCAGTAGTGTAATTTAGTAATCATGTATCTTTAATCCCAGAGTCACATACCCTAGATCCAGCCACCTCTGAAAAGTCCCATCTAAGTCTGCATGAGGCTTTGTGAGGACATCTAGACATAAGCCACAACACTTGTTTTTGTCCCAGATTAAAAAACCAAATGATTAAATTCATAGAGGTGAGGTGTGTGTGTGTGTGTGTGTGTGTGTGTGTGTGTATGCACGCGTGTACAGTGCTCTAGGAACATTGATTCACAAAGCAAATTTACAAGGAACTAATTTGTAAATAACAACTAGCTTGATCAGTGTCTAATGGGAGACATAGCTAGAATGATAATGAATACTTCTTATATTTCTCTTTCTATTATCCTCTCATATTTGGCTTCTTTTGTTAAATACTGATAGTATTTTGTGCTATAGTTCCTGTGCTTCATTGTATTTATTCATACTTCCTCTAGGGGAACAGAAGAAATAATATGCAAGCATGAAAAAAATTAAAATTGACATCAAATGTTTACCAAGAGCAACTTCAGAGAGGTCAATCTACCCAGAAGATGAAATCACAGACCAGAAGGTTTCTATGGTTAAGTCAAATCAGAAAGAGGAAATTCAAGGTTGCTAAATACTCACTTAAAAGCTACTAAAGTAGATCTCTTCCACTTTAAGTGATCTTTAAAGGTCATTTAGTATGAGGACACATTTATCCCCACACATGGAGAAGAAACTGGCAATGAATGAATTCCTCCTTTCCACTTTTCCCCTTTCTGTATTATTTCCCAGAAAGTTCCATTATTAAACCACTTTGAAATGTGATGATATTTGAAATTATACTCTGTCTTAAAACATAGCATGTACAAATGTGACTGTTTGCTGACAGGCTGGTGTTGTGGTTTGGATCTGAAATATCCCTCAAAGGTCACGTCCCCCTAAAGGTTTTATCTCAAATGTCCCTGTGAGGTCTTTGTCTCCAGGCGGTAGCACTACTGCGCGGTTGTGGAAGCTTTAGGAAGGGCTATAGAAGGTATGGTAGTTTGATCACTTAGGGTGTGTCCTCCAAGGGTATATTTGTACTTGGTTCTCTCTCTCTCTCTCTCTCTCTCTCTCTCTCTCTCTCTCTCTCTCTCTCTCTGTCTCACTCTCACTCTCACTCTCCCTCTCTCTCCTTTTTGGCCACCACAAGGTGGGCGGACGTCCTCTACCATGTGCTCCTGACCTACCACATGCCCAAAGATTTGGGGCCAAGTGACTATGGACTGAAATCTCTGCCAAAACACCCATTCAGGATGATTTTCTCAGTTAACCACAGTGATGAAAAGCTGACACACCTGAGAAGTGCCATACTTCTTTATTAAATAAAAATATACAAAAAAAATGTATGTTTTCTCTAAATCAATGTGTAAATGAGTTATTTGATACTGTGTCTCACACTTTGTGTAGATTCTGGTAATTTTAATTAGAGTCATCCCTTAGTATTCTCTGGGGGATTGGCTCTGGAACCTCCTGTGTATACTAAAATCATTAGATACCCAAGTCCTTATATAAAATAGCATAGTGTTTGCATATAACCAGTACATCCTCCAGTATACTTCAAATCATCTCTTGGTTATTTATGCACCTAATACAAAGGAAGTGCTATGTAAATAGTTATTATATTGCGTTGTTTAGAGAATGACAGTAAGAAAAAGTGTCTACACATTCAGTACACATGAAATTTTGATAGAAGTATTTCTAATTTATGGATGCAAGGCCCACAGATTCAGAGGACCAACTGTACAGAGATTTCGTTAGAAGGTTCAGAAGGCACATTTGACATGATTTAATGTAATATAATTTCTTCTTGTTTAGGAAATGACAACTTGATAGAAGCTAATGCACACCATTCGGTGCAGTGTGCAAACACTACTGCACAAAAGGTAATATTATTTTAAAATGTTATTAAAATATTTTGTAAAAAATATCTCATGAGTTCTTTTAAAAATACTTTCTATGTTTCATGGGAGATACTAGCTTTTTCTCTAGGGTGATCAGATAAATGTTTCCTAGGAACTTATAGTCTCAACAGGATGCCACCACCCACGAACCTGTAGAAAGAACAAAGCAATAGGGCCTAGCATGAGTGTTTCTCAAACATTTAGAAGCAGTGTTTCAGAAGAACAAGGGTAATTAATGTGTGGCACAGGGCGAGCTGCACAGTATTTCTTATTTGGATAATTGGGTAGAGGGATCAGCCCTGTTTCAGTTGCTCCATTCCCCCTCAGCAAACAGGATGGTCTTACCTTCCCAAACAGCCTGGCATCCAGGAGTGGGAGAGAAGCCCGAATGGATTGACCTTGTGTACAACATGGCCGCATTTGCTTAGGACAACCTTTGAGCACTGAAAAGTACTGGGAAGAGAAGAGAGGAGTGAATCGTATTATTTCACCCACTTAAATGGCACCAGCACCAGCAAAAGAGGCATTTGCCTAGCTTACACACACACACACACACACACACACCCAAAAAAATCAAAGACTCAGCTGGTTTTTCTAACCACTCAAATAAGCATGCTTCTGGCAAAAAAAAAAAAAAAAAGTTGAGTGGAATTCAAATGAATGACCAGTCAGCAAAAAGACTGCTGCTGACATTATTAATCTTCCAAATTACCCAGATCTATCATCTACATAAAAAACTCATCATTGGGCACTTGTGGCAGAGGTATCCCTCCCTTAAACGAACGGTCATTGTCAGCAAAGTTTGCGGCAGAGACTGTCTATCAAATCAATCTTATTTTCCCATCGATTTCCATTACAAAATCTGAGATGCATTCTGTTGTTAACTCCTTTCAACAGCTTACCAAACCTTTCAGAAATGGCACATTGAAAAGAAAAATAATAACATTCAGATAAAACAGTGATATTTAAGACGTTAACAGTGACTCTGTGTTGTATTCAACACATCACAACACAAAATGCTCAGGATGGAACATGACACGATTTTACACACTGGGCCTCACGTAGCACAGAGGGCAGTAACTTCTAAAGACATTAGCAGCTTAGTCTCTCAGTGACATTACAACAGCCTTGACCTTTTTATCATTGTATAGCAAAAATAGTTTATTATTTAAAGAATATATCTCATTTCCCTCCGGTCCCTTGCCCAGAATATTTATCTGGTAACCTCTTAATAGCTTGTGATGCTACCCTTAGACAGGGAAAACCAGCCACCCAGACCCAAAAACAGAGCATTAGGCCTGGGTCACCTGGGGGTCCCCATTATTGGAGAAGGTGAGCATCTCCTGGAGGCACACTGTAGCAGGAAGCAGCGGATCTGATACAGGTTGGACCACGCATGGCCTTTAACTTCTGAGACGCTGAGCTACTACTGAACACCGATAATCTGCGCTTGCCATGTTACTCTGGACTTACTTGCTTTGTATAACATGTGTTAAATGACTGTTTTGCCAAATATATGTTGAGTGGCTGATTGAATTTCAAGGATGACTTTGTTCTTCATTGGAGGACACTGACAATTCTACGTGGTCGTATCTCAAGCTGTAAAGGTGACTAAGGATATTGATCTCCATAGAAATGTTACTCAGGTCATAATGGTGTTAAATGTCCAACACAGGAATATCAGGATAGGACATCCTTGGCAGGGGGCTTTGGTTTAATTCTTGAATTCCTCATGTCATCAGCAGGATGTGGATTTTTGTCAAGCAGTAGGCCCACTCGAATTAGGGAGGAGAAGCAAACTGTCTCGCAAGCCACAAACTCAGCCTCAACTCACACCCAGGCCCTCTTTTACCTATTTTGATTCAAGACCCAACATTCAGGGTTGGCTCTGCCATTTTATTGAAAATACATGTTTTAGTAAACAAAGCATACACAAAGAATTTTGAAAAGTTAGGGTAAGGTTGAGACTTTTCCTGGACAAGGTCCACAGGCCACTTACCAAGAGCTCTTGGTTAATTTACCAAACCAAATTTTTTTCTAAAGTCCATCGCATTGAGAAACCTCAACATTATGTGAAAATTAAACACACCCAGGGAATCAGGCCCATTCTAAGGAAGCTCACCAGTAACACACAAATTACTATGATGTCTTTGTATGAAGTGACAATAGCAATTAGTGGTGTCACAGTGGCCAGGATCGTGAGATTGTAACCAGCGGATTTGTTCCCTGCAGGCAGAATGAGTAGAAAGCCAAGTTATGAGTTGAAACTGAGCACAGAATGAAAACAAAGCGGGATGGATGTTTATTCTCTAGAAATATGTGATTCAGAACACGAGCGGCCTAATAAAGCCACCAAACAACTGGTAAGTGGCACAGCTACCTTCTCCAAACTCCAGCTGTGCCCTCTCAGGCAGCTCTGTGCACCGATGGCCACTTCGCCAGTGCGCTTGTTTTAAAGGGTACAACCAGAGCCTGCTCTGAATTTGTGCTCTACTGCAGTGAGACTGTGAGGGGACTCGAGAGTCAGGAGAAGATGAAAATACTTTCTAATGATAAAAGTTCTTATAAATTAGTCCTCTCAAACATCTCTCCCTCCCTCCCTCAACTTTCTTTTTCTTTTTCTCTTCCTCTTCCTCTTTCCCTCTCTCTCTTTAGTTCCTTTCCTTTTTCTCCCTCTCTCCTTCTTTTCCTCCCTCCTTCCCTCCCTTCCTTCTTTCTTTCCTTCCATCCCAGCAATGCTGCAAATTGAACCCAGGGTCTTTGCACTGAGCTACAATCACAGCCCTTTGTGTTTTTTATTTTGAAAAGGAGACTTGCTAATTGCTAAGTTGCCCAGGCTGGGCTGGAACCTGCTTTAACCTCATCTTGAATTATAGGCTTGGGTCACCAAGCCCTCTCAAATGTCTTTCTTAACGTTAGTCTTCTCTTCTTTGTCCGTGAGGCACACAGAGTATTCTATGTGAGGCACACATAGATTCAATTCTGGCCAGAGTAGAGCTGCAAATCTTGAAAAGATGTAGAGTTTTGTCACGTCAATGTCAATGTGAAGCCTAGGAAGCCACCAGCAAAAGAATACTAATGACTCAAACTACAGGGAAGGGAAGATAGCCATATTGCTGCTTCACAAAAGAATCCTTAAAATATCAAAGACTTTTACCCTTGGGAAAATTGATGAAGCTCTCTGGGTAGGGTACTTGTCCTATGAGGATTTTCAGGAGAGAAGATGGGAGTTCATAGGGTGACCTTCTTGATTTTTAAGATTCACTTCAGGGGAGCAAAAGGGAGTCAGGGCAAGGGACGATGGGAGAGGTTTCGCTTCTGTGGTTCTCCCAATTTTTTTTCAGTTCAAAATGGTCAAACAGCCAAGATCAGCCTCCTTCAACTCAAAATACCCAACAGGCCAGGGCATAATACTTTCAGGTATCGTGTTCTGAGCACCGACAGGTGCTCCACATTTTATAGGCAGACTTAAGCAACTGGTTATTTTCTTGATTTATTAATTATTCATTCTGCAATTAGCATAGTTACATTTGAAACAAATTTTGTTCGATACAATATAGAATAAATGTTTTTAATAATGAGTTCTAGTTTCAAATGAAATTCCAAACAAACTTTTTTATAATTAATTGCTTTAAAATTTGGTTCTGGTTTTAAGTGGGTTTCCTTTGAGAAGCCTTCACCAACACTAACCATACTAGATAAGAAGGGCTTTCTTTCTTAATGAAGCCAAACTTTCCTGGTAAAGGTCCAATGCAATGATTGTATCTATTTAGATATTAAATTCTTGCTCTTTTATGCTGAAATACATCGTTTCTGAGTTCTCAAGGGGTAGCTTTATTTACTCTAGGGTCACCGTATGGGATTACGTCCAAAGGGAAATAACAGTAGTCATATCATCTGTGTCTCCCAAGGCAATGCTAGCACAGTGGCAGACTTTGGAGTCAACCAGGAAGCAGGCATACATTTCAATCTGCTTCACCTACAGCAAGGCACAAACCACACACCTCCTCTGAACTTCAGTATCTTCCCCTGTAAAACACAGGACCAACAACGGCTTCTTCCTGTGACAATGAGTAAAGGTCTGATGTATCATTAGTAAGATGCTAAGTACCAAGGAGGCGCCCATACATGATCAAATCAGGCAGTTTATTTGTGGTCCTGGGGATTGAACTTAAGGGTGCTTTGTCATTGAACGACACAGACAGCCCTCTTTATTCTGAGACAAGGGTGCCCAGGTTGACCTTGAAATTAAGCTCCTCTTGCCTCAGCCTTCCAAGTAGTGGGGATCCTAGGCACGTAATACTGTGCCTGGCCAGTTTACTTCTGGCTTGTTTAGCTGCCAAAATTTCCTCTTGATCTTAACAGTTGATTATTTTGTATGTTTGGGTATTCTGCCTCACAGTGTGAGCCTGGGGTATCTAGAATATAAAAGGCAGCTTCACATGATAAAATACTGAAAATGTGCCTTTTGGAACACCTTGCTGCATAAGTATCTTGAATTCTGAAATATTTCTGGATGTTTTGAAGAAAAGTTCATGATGAGATTTGCAGGACTTACTTTGTAAAATTCTGGGTTCTTTTATGCACGAGGAAGGCTTCAGGGGCAGACCCCCAAGCCCAAACAGGCGATTTTTATAAACACGCTTTGACTGAAAGTTAGGAACCCTGGTCTCTCACCATGGAGAGCTCAGTGCAGGAGCACAGGTGTGGCTGTCAGATGCCCCTGGATTTGAACTCCTGCCTGGCTGTGTGACCCTGGCTGATATACTTCATTCTTCCAGACTTGGGTGTCTCATTCATATAGCTCAGAATCATGAAAAAGCATTTGTCTTGAGGACTGAATCCAACACTGCATTGAAAACATTTGGGTACCTGTAGTACTCAATAACTGGTGACCATTATTCATGAAATCTTCAAAGGTACAAGTTAATTGGTATGTTTTATTCAAAAATGGTTTCACAGCGATGCATAAGAAAAATTACATTCCCTTGAATCTCAGGCTTTGAGTGCATTGATCTTGCCTTGCCTTTCGCCTCCTGTAGCAAAGTTCTTTTCCTTTGCTTATTACTTGTGAAAATGTCGTTTACCACTAGTACAGCGGTGGCCAAGGTATGGTGCACATGCCTTACCGGTCTGCAGGGTCCTCTCTGTCAGCACGCCCGCCAAATCACCTCAGCTTGATCCCAGCAGCCCGGCACTGTTGGCACTTCTCGATAAATAACTGGGGTCTGGGTTTGCGGTTCACCACCACTGCCCCAGTTTGCTGCAATAGATTCCTGCGACCACCTCCCAATCAGCAGGACAGCGCAAGGATACGGAATGCAGGGATATCTACCTGGACTCCACCTCCCAGGCTCCCAGGCTCGCGTTTACTTAGCTCAAGCCAGGAGGCAGAGATAGCTAACATTGATCACTCGCTTCCTAGTGCCAGATACCACGCAGGATGAGTTGTAAACACACATTCTTGAGAACAAAATAGTCTTACTGTTTCCCAGGTAGGCAGAGGCCTTGACCCAGAAATTCGTTGAAAATTGTGCAGTGAGGAAGTGGCGGCACCCTTGCACAGTCCACGCAGCTGTACGGTTGAAAGTGTACCAGTTATACAATGGAGGTTGTGCATCTGACCACCACAACTCTACACACCAACAGATAAATAAGCTAGCCCCTCCTCAATCCCAGTAATCCCTGTTTAATTTCCTGTGGCCAACCATGAATGTCAAATCATGATTGTTCTAGAAAACATCTTTCAAACACGGTAACAAAGAGTCCCAAATAATCAAAGGGAGGGAAAAGTGGGGAGGGAGAGAAAGGCAGATAAGTTTCTTCCATTAAAGGCACAAGAAAAGTTTCTCATCTCCAAGTGCTGAATTCTGCAATCTTTCCAAAAGTGGCTCATCTCAGAGCACATTTGGGAGAAGCCTGAACCACAGTAACCATTTAAGGTCAAGCAAGCAACTGGCCCATCTAACGTGCACGGTGCCGGGCTCATCTGAGAACAGAACCTAGCTCTCCATCCCAGCTCCAGAAAACAATCGGAGCCACAGTGTGAGCGTCACTTTGGAAAGAGCCCCAGCAAGTTGCCAGGCCTGGACGGATCGAGGCCGGGTCTCCCTGCGACCCTCATTCTGACCAGCGCACATCCCAGGCAGGGTAGCTGAGTCCAAGCCGAGCCTGGCGCAGGGTCACGGGGAAGCGCAGGCGCGCGACCGCGGCAGCGCGCTCTGGGGGCGGGGCCTGGCGACTCGGGGGCGGGGCCTGGCCTTGGGGGCGGGGCGGCCGGGCGCGCGCGCCTCTTTGTTCTCCGCTATTGTGAGGCGCCGACTCCGCGGCGCTTCCTCTCAGTCCCAGCGGCTGTGGGGGATTCGCGAGGGGACCTTGAGGACCTTTCTTTTTTGGTTTAGGTTTTGGTACGTGACGCCCTTCTCCGTGCGGCCTATGCCTGGCGGCTCGGCGCCAGGAGGGAGGCAGAGCGCGAGGCATCCTGTCCTCAACGCCTCCTCCAGGAGGCGTCCGGCCCGACCCGGCCTGGCCCTCCGCACTGTTCCCTTAGGGCAGCCGTGGCCACACACGGCCCCTCCCGCGGCGCAGCTCCGGCTCCCCCAGCTGGGGCTTCCGCCGGGCACCAGAGCGAGGGTCGGGGGCCCGCGCGCAGCCCGAGCCCGAGCCCGAGCGTCCCGGGAGCCGGCGCGAGTGTCACCTGGCCCTCCCCGGCGCTCGCGCTCCCCGACCGCCGGGCGGCCGCCTCAGCCCCTTTATATAGCCCTCTAAAAATAGCTCGCCTCGCGCCGCCTTGTAAGGCAGCAGGGAGATCCGCAGAGAGCCAATCCGCGGCCACCGCCGGGGCCAAGCCCCGCCCTCGAGCCCGCTTCGGGCTCCCCATTGGTCCTCAGTGACTTCATGAGCCCCCTGTTTACCTTACATGGTCACACGCGGCCTAATGGGCGCCCTCCTCCGAGATCCCACGGCTGCGCGCAGAGCCGGGCGGAGGGAGGGAGTTTGGGGAGGGGGAAGAGCAGGAGGAGGAGAAAAGGGGAGGGGGGACTACAAACTAGCAAGGATGGGGTGGGGGGTGGGGAGGAAAGGCAAGGGGGGGGGGAGAGAAGCGATCGCGAGAAAAAAAAAAAATGCAACCTCCCAAAATAAAGAGCAAAGATTGCATTAGGAGCGAACAGCGCTGCAGAAATAGATGGCAGCTTCGTGTCAGTGAGTTTGCGTCCCCTTCCTGATCCACAAGCCGGAGTGATTCGAGCTGGAAGGGAATTGTGACTCCCGTGAAGTCCCCTCTTCCTGGCAGTCAGCTGCATTGTACACGCTGGATACCCTCCATCCACCCCACTCTCTCGCTCCTCTCGCACCTCGCGCCCTCGCTCCTGCATTGATTTTTTTTTTTTTTCCTTTTTAGTTGACTGAAACAAAACAAAACAAAAGGGTCACTGGATGTCTGCCTTCTTGGGGGGTAAGCCAGACAGACTGACAGACAGACAGACTTCACTGTGCTCGGGGGAGGGCTTGTCGTCCCGCGTTGCCCGGCCGCAGCAGCATGGACGTGTTGGCTAGTTATAGTATATTCCAGGAGCTACAACTTGTCCACGACACCGGCTACTTCTCAGCGTTGCCGTCCCTGGAGGAGACCTGGCAGCAGGTGAATGATTTAAATTACTTGTGTAAATCGTGTGGTGGCGGCGGAGACGCAGGGGCTGCATTGGTGTGGGCTTTGGGGTTGGATTTTTTTTTCTTTCTGTTTTTGGTTTTGGTTTTATTTATTTATGTTTTCCTTTTGGGTTCTGTGTTGCTTCGAATGTTTTCTGATACAGTCATCGGCGCTTACCTCTCAACCCACCCCGAACCCTTTAGTCTTGCCTGGCCAAGCAGCCAGCCAGGTCCGAACTGCCTGCGTCTCAGTCACCAACACACACCCTTGCGCACACGTTTTCGGTTCACGGTCCCCGGGCTGAGACCGGCCCAACTTCTGGGGCTCGGAAAAGCCCGGTGGGAAGACGGTTTGGATCTGTGTGGTACCCTCATCCCTACGTGCGCGAGCCCTACCTGTCTGGTACCTTAGATCAGGTTCATGGGTTTCAACTGGTGCTGACATCGGCGGAGGGGGGTGGCAGGAGCACAGCGAAGTGTTTTCCCAGTAATTAGCGAGTGCCAGGAAAGAATAGGAGCTTAGTTTGGAGATTAGAAGGTGGAAGAAGAGAAAAGAATCCAGTGAAAAAAGCTGCTCAGGGGTATGTATCTCGGAGAAGGACGGGAAGATGCCTCTTTCTCAGTCTGACAAAGCACTGTAGGTTTCCCCAGTGGAATGCCTCCAGGAGGAAAACACCCTGCGTGTGTGTCCTTGTGTTTCTCTTTCTGTTTTTCGGGGTGGGGAGTCCCTTTCAGTTAGCACAACCCCAGACAAAGGCTGATACGTGCTTCTATCCTCTGACTTCGTCGCGGAGGACTAGTTAAGAAACTCCTAGGATGCTCAAGGGTACCGGTGCCAAGTTGAGGAGGCGTGAGGAAGGTGCGGAGGCACAGGGGACAAGTTCGCTAGGCTTTGTGAAGTGGAATAAAGAAAGTGCTGGTCAGTGGAAAGTGCTAGGTCTGCTGCGGGAACCGTGGCTTTTTTTTTTTTTTTTTTCCAGCAGCGACTGGGGGACGTTCTGCAGGAAAGATGGTGGTGGGTGGGGGCGGGGGACGTGGGTCTTTAAAACCTCGAGGGTGTGTACCGCGGAGAGTCCAGGAAGGCACTCTGGATTGGCACGTCGGAAGCGTGAACTTGTGCAGACCCTCCTGTTTGCCCTTGGAGAGGGCTGAGAGAGAGGCTCGGTGTGTGGCAGCCCCCCGTAACTGCTCAGTGACGGCAGCTCGTTAAGGCTAATGAACGGGCTGATTTCCTCTGCCAGGATCCAGGATTTGCCAGCTCGAGGCTGGGATGTAACAGTTGCTGCTCTAGTGGGAGAGGTTTGACTTTTGATATAAAGAGCCCCGTGGCGAAGCTGATCACCATTGTTACAAGTCCCCCCCCCCCCGCCCCCAAGAAGCTGCTAGTTTTTCAGCAGGTATCAGTCAGCCTCTTGTGCGCCTGTGTTCACACAAGCATTCCTGTCCGAAGATGCTGGTGGATACTCTTGAGTCTCTCCGAACACATTTTTTTCCCCACGAAGCATTTCTTCAAAGCTTGCTTTCCCCCATCCTTAACATGAGCATCTCATGTCTCATTAAGGGTCTCCCTGGGTCTATTTTCCTCCTTTTATTTTGCATGAGAAATCAGAATGTTGCCAGAATTTCATTTTCTAAATAGCTTTCGTTTTGCACTGTCAGCCGATTGGTGTTGAATCAGTTGCATATTAACAACTGTCTAGACAGGTTAGAGAAGGGAATCTGTTGATTTTAGTCAGCCTGCTCCAGGCAGCTCTTGTTTGTGACTAACCGTTTGTTCGGCAGTGTTGGAGGGAAGAAAGTTGGCTTTATTTGTTACAGCGTTCCCTCCTGATGAATCACACAACTTTGTTTTGGTTCAAGTTTTCACAGTAGTAAAGCCTGCTTTGCGGGAAGGCCTTTCTCCGAGGAAACCTGCCTTTCTAGCTGTGGCTGGACCATCCAGGAGAAGCTCCAGGTCTTCTAAGGCACATCAGTGGTTTGACAATTAAGGGCTGGATTAGATCTTTTGTTTCCCCAGAAGCCAGTTTGCTCTTCCTCCTTGCCTTCTCCTCCCCTGCCCTCCCCCTCCTGCCCACTCAAGGAACCGCTAGCTTACTTTCTATCTGAAGGCAGAGGAATTATTCTCCTTAACTGCTTCCTTGTTTCTTGCCTTAACCCTCTCCAACTGCCAGCTGCTCTCACCATAAAACCCTTTGCCAGATTATGCCAGAGCTGCACACTCAGGGTCCACAGGAAATGTAACTTGTGACAAGCACTTACAAACAACACGTCCCTCCAAGGAGCTTTCTGCTGTGGGCTCTGTAGTCACAACTGCTTTTTCTAAAGGTAGCCAGGACCCTAAGTTTGTGCTGACGCCAAAACCTCTAGCCTGTATTTCTTGCTTTTTCCCACACCCAACCCCCTTCGCTGCTGCCGAGTTGAAGAGGTAATGGTGATTGTGTGCAACTATGGGTTCCAAGTTGACCATTTGATGGTGAAATTTGGAGACTGCTTTGCTCAAAACAGCTCAAGAATATTGCTATGAAGAAACCCAGGCAGGAGGAAGTTGTCTGATGCTGTGGGGGTAATGCGATTTTAGAGGTCAAGTGAGGAATAATGATTAGACTTTCTCCAAGTGAACAATATGCCTGGCCTCAGGGAAAGGGATGAAGTGCTGAGATCCCAGTCATCTGATTTTCTAGAGAATGAGTGGCTTAGGGAATAGACCCAAGAACATCTGTGCGTTAGAAAATTAAGGATGCACTATTTGGGGATTCTAGTTCAAACTTACGATATGGATAATTTTCTGTGTCAGTGAGCTTGTGACAGAGTCACTGGTTGTGACGGGGCCACATCCGGTCATGGAGATCATCATTTTGACATTGAATTTTCAAGCAGTAATGCGGCTTCAACTCCCCGAATCATTGCTGTTATAATTTTAAAGCCCAAATGGACATCCCACATTAACAGCGCTCCATTCCTGGACTCTGACTGCATACTTAAGCACTTGGCCCAAGTAATATCATCTCTGCCTGTCATATAACTGTAAATTACACTGTGCTTATGTGATCTATTGTTTTATGGAATTCAGCTGACACAACTCTTAAGGCTACTATCCTTGAGATCTTGGGAATCTTGTAGGAAATTTTCCAAGAGTTGTTTGAGCAAAGTAGAAAAAGGCCAGGGTAGGACAGAGGCTGGAGAAGATTGTGGGGTGCCATGTGATAGTAGCTTAAGGGGAGACCCATTCATGACTTTCCTTGCCATTAGAAGTTACTGCTCTTTGGGTCCACCGCTGACTTGGAAAATAAAAAGGATTTGATATGATACTCTTGGTTATTTTCTCCCAGAGGCTGGGGGAAAAAAGCCTTGAGAGTTTTTGTACATCCATTATACCTTGCCTGGTATTTTGTGAGTACCGGTCAAGTGATGATGCTCTTAAGTCTTATTTGGAATTCACTTTGCTTCATGTCATTGAGAAGCTTGGCATGTTTACTTAAGAACTCTTATGGAATTATGCTCATTGCTAATGCTGATTCATAATTGGCAGATGGGGTCAATTTCAGGCCTCCATTTTGCTTGGAGAAAATTTTCCACTGCTACTGGAAACAAATAAATAAATCATAGAACATTCCTCCCTCCTCCTCCATTCCCCATTGTCTTAAACTAATGGCATACTTGGCTGCTGTAAAGACTAAAAGTGTCCCCGTAACATTATAGTTCCATCCTGGTTTGAGGCACCCTGAAGCACTTTCTGTGAGGGTCCTAAGAGGCATCTCTAGGGGGCAAACCCGCAGAAATCTTCTCCTTCCAAGAACACATCCAGGTACCAGGGAGAGGATTTGGTCAGTCAGCCACATGGCTTTTTCTTCTGTATGATCCTGCGTTTCTGCACTGCTTTCCAGCCAGGTGCTGTCTCAGCCAGAAAGACAAAGCAAACTGTAGGGTCTGTCCCTCCGTAGGTTTGCCTCTGCCCCCAATTTGCAGAGCCCCTTGTCTTGAATTAGAATTTCTTGGCCACAGCACCACCCTGAGAAATGTGTAGACACAAAGGAGCCTTGGTAACCATGCTGAAAGGATAAAATAGCTGGCTTTTTATTTTATTTTTTGAATGTGGTGTGTGTGTATATTCTTCCATGACTGGAAATCTATTCCTTTATTTGAAAGAGTGTCTTGATAGATGAACAGAAAATGAAAACTTCTGCTGTTATCCAGAAAATTCTTTATGGAGGTGCAACCACTAAATAAATGTAGTTATAAAAACGAAAGCACAGGTGAGTGCAGTTAGCCACCAGCCTTTCTTTAATGGATTCATTTCCACGTTCTCCTAGTAGACACATCTTTGTGTAGGCTTAGGGCCTCGCAAACATTATCATTGTGTCTACCTGTTTGCAGTTTGGTTTTTTAAAGTTAGTGAAGATTTCAGTGCAGATATTTTTACTACATCTGTCCCTAGAAGGGAGAAGAGAAAGTCACCATTCTTTGTTCTTTGTGAGCCCCCCCCCCACTTTCTCCTCAGAAGAGAATGGGGTGCTGGGGGGGTCCCATCCATTTAAAAGGCATTGCAGAAGATGCGGGGTGACAGGCTTTCCCCGAGATGATTTATGGATTGGCATGTCAGAGACCTTAAGTGTTCACATGTGGCCTCTTCTTCCTCGAAGCCCATTCTGAACACAAGTACCCGTGGGCCTAATTTGCCTCTTCACTTTAAATGGGGATCGTTTTGAGAGGGTCATAGTGGGGATTTGAATAGCTGTTCTCTTAAGAATCTTCAAATTCCCCTTCAGAGAATTGTCCTGCATTTTAACTTTTTGAATACAAGCATGACAGTCTTTCTTTGCTCACTCTGTGCCTGTGAGGGAAAGAAGAATACTGTTTAATCATGTTGATCAGATAGGTGCTCTGATACCTGATTGGTTGCCGGGTACCCCCATATTTACAGTGTATCATAGCAGGCACAGTGTTTTAAAGCGCTTTAGCTGGCCCCCATGCCTGGCAAATGCAGAGAATTCA